CGGGGGGGGGGGGGTCCGGAGGGGGGAGAACCGGCGAGAACAGGGGGCGGTTTGGGTTGGGTTGGGGGGGGGGGTGCTATGCCTTTCTGCAGGAGGGACTCCATCTCTCCCCACCCCCATCCTGCAGCTCCGCTCGGGCTGGAGAAAGTTGGAGGAGGGGCTGGGAGGGGGGGATCCCTAGCGGCAGTCTCTGCTTTGGGGGTCCCCCGTTCTCCAGGCTCAAGAGCCCTGCGTGGAGCCCAAGGCTTCGTTCCCAGTTTCCAGCCTTCACCAAATGGACGTTGGCCCACCTTGCCCAGCCAGCCAGGCCACCAGGGACCAACCCCAGAGGGGAGCCGTGAGGCCGTTCTGCCAGGGGGCTGCCTAGGAGGGGGGTCATTCCGGGCACCTTCTCAAGCAGGGCAGGGAGCCTGACGCTGCTTGTACAGGAACCGAGGGAGGCTGCCCAGGACAGCAGAAGCCGCGACAGTTGTCAAGCGGGTCATGCACGCAACCCATCCGATTTCACAACCATTTTTGTGGTGATTGTCAAGTCAGCCATTGTTCACCCTGGGACGTTTTTGCTGAAAACCAGAAGGGCAATTTTTGACAAAAACCGCCATGGATCCTGGGCAAATGGCCACGGGGTGCTGCCAATGTCTAAATGCTGTTTACCAAGCCTGCAAAATGCAATCAAGTGACTGGGTGTGTGTGTGTGTGTGTGTGTAGGACCTTCGAAAGTTTGGAACCTGGTGAAAGTTAAGGCCATAAAGACCTTTGAGAGGGGGAATCCACCCTAACTTTGAACGGTTGTTAAGCAAGTCAAGGCCGTAAGTCAAGACCCATCCTCATCAAGCACCACAACAAACGGAGGAGGCCAGAAGAGCAAGTCCCCATCTCTGCAAATCCTTCGTGCTCAGGAGTTCCCCAGATTTCCTTTGGCTGAAGGTGCAAAAGGAGGGGGGAGGGGCTTCATCTCAACTCCCCAAAGAGGAGACTTGGGAGATCTTGGACCACCCAGATGCCCCAGCCCTCCCCCCCCCACACAAAAGACAAGCTCTCCAGCGGATCAGAACCTGGAGGAAGAGGAGTCAACCTCCCCATGGGATCTTTCACAAGATGCCCCTTGTAGGATCTCTGCACAGCCTCAGGGACCCTAATTTCCTCTGGTTCCGGCTACTATAATCCACGTTTATCACCCTTAAGAACACACAGAACCTCAGAATTAAAATTCTCCCGGGTGCAGCTAAGCCAGAGACTGACAAACACACCAGGCACCAAGCAGGAGCTAGAACAATTTTACCCACTGGCCCCAATCCATCTGGCCAGGAAGCCTTCCGTTGCCTTCCCTTAAGGAGGCTGCGATTGTGGGAGTACAGAAAGTGATGGAACTATGTAAAGTGGCGGGTGATCCTGACTGCAAGAACAGAAATGTTTACACTCCACTCTCTAAATAATGGCCAGGTTGAGAAAAACCTGAGCTAGTAAGTGTGCACTGTAAAGATTGCAGTCACAAAGACATTTGATTTTTTAAAATTTGTCATGCAATTTTGCCCCGAGAACTTTTGGGCATCACCGTGCAACAAAACTGGAACAGAGGTAGCCCCAGGAAGGTCCTGAGGGGGCTCCCTGGCCTCCCTCTCCAGGAACTTTACTCCCGAGGAATCAAACGTTCTCTATGGGGTCCGATGCAGCTACAAATCTGATGTCTTAAATCTGGCTCATAATGCAGATCGGATTAATCATTGATATTCTTTTCTGATATCTGGACAGAAAAAAGTGCCTTTTTGTGCTGAGGAATGACGCTTGCAACGTTAAATGCAACCTTTTAAAAAACCAAAATAAGTAAAGATTTATTTTCCAAAACCCGTGTCCTGGAGTGGGCCAGCCAGCCATCATAGGTGTGCCCCCACCCTGCTGCCTTTTCCACCTAAAATTGGCACCATCACCCTAGCAGGGCAGGTTGGTGGGCTCTCTCCAAGGATTGGGGGCAATTGGGGGCTGCCCCACCCAGCTGGGCTTTGAGGCATCTTCTCAGGGGGCTCTCAGGAGGCAGGGGGCGAGATGGGAGGCAAGGAAGGAGGCTCACCCAGGGGGCAGGAGCTGCGGAAGGGGTCCTGAGACAGGGACCAGCAGGCAAGGGAGGCCAACAGACCCGGTGCCCCAAATTCACAGCTGGCACTCTCCATGGGCAGGCACAATGCTGTGATCCTGGTCCCTTGGCATGCCTTGACCAAGACACCCTGGGCAGACAGCAAGGAAAGCCAGCCGGTGGCAGCCCTCCAGCACGTTCGGCTCCCCCTAATCCTAAAACACAAAACCTTTAGTGTGTTGGGAGGCTTCAATTCTGGAGCTTCGGAGGCAGAACTGGGCTCCTACATTTCTGCATCTTCCCCGGGAACAGCCACACTCCTGGCCCTGGTGCTTACACTTCAACATAGGTGAGATTGCGAGAGCCACGGGGCTGTTGCCAGGAACCAGTAGTGGCCCACGGTCTCCCCGTCCGCAGAAATGGACCACGAACATGGGCAGAATGGGACTAGCAAGTCTTCTTCCCGTGGCCTTCGTGCTGCCAGGAGGCAGAGGGGGGCTCTTGGAGAGGCAGAAAGGCAACTCCGAGGGCACCTCCAGATCCCTGCAGATTCCTGCCCTTCACCTCTGAAAGAAGCCAACGGTCTCAGGGGGCAGAGCAGCCAATTTGTAAAACATCTGCATGGTAAAAATGGGGGCCTCTGAGGGGCTATTGACTCAGCCCAGCAGCTGCTTCCAACCGTCCCTCTCCAGGAGGCCCCAAAAGTATTTCCTTCCAGGGGTCCCAGGGGCCAAGACTCAGGCAGCTCCATTGTTCTCTGCCCCCCCCCAATCTCAGCTGCTGCAGCTGCACTAACCCCCCTTTTCTTTCAGGCAGGTCACAGGGCCAGGCTGAGGTGGGGGGGGGGGGCAGATAACCTCCCACCTCCCATACCTGCTTTGGCTCATTGCAGCATCCAGGAGCTCAAACTGGGCACTTTAGCTCTCAACTTTCAGCATCCGGAGACTGCAGGAAGGGGGGGGGAGCTGCAGACTCTGCAGGACTGATCCCCCTACGCCCCCTCCCCCAGTTGCTACCAATAGCCCCACCTCTCAGCCTGGCCCCTGCACCCCACGGAGCATCTGCCTTCCTGGCCTGGGCAGGAGGAGCCATTCGCACTGGGCAGCTACCCCCCCTCCCCCAGCCTTCCTGCCCTGGGTCCCAATCCTCAACTTCTCCTCCCTGTTGAAAGGGCTCCTCTGTCTACAGACTGCAGAACCAGGGAGTCGGAAGGGACACCGGAGGCCTTCTAGTCCACCCTCCTGCTCAAGCAGGACACACGAGACCATCCTGGACAAGCGGCTGCCCAGCCTCCCCTTGAAAGCCTCCAGGGAAGAAGGGGCACCCACAGCTGCTGGAGGGAAGCCGTCCCACTGTTCTCCCTGTCAGGAAACCCCTCCTCAGTTCTTCCACGGCCCTAAGAAACCATAGCCACACACACACCCCACACACCCGTGGGGAATGCTGGGCCAATGGCGGCTGCCAGCTCTGCAGGGACTGCAGCTCTCCTTCCTTCCTTCCTTCTTCTTCCCCTTTCCTTCCTTCCTTCCTTCCTTCCTTCCTTCCTTCCTTCCTTCCTTCTTCTTCCCCTCTTTCCCTTTGCCATGCTTCCTTCTTTCTTCCTCTCTTTCCCCTCTCCATCCTTCCTTCTTTCTTCTTCCCCTCTTCCCCCTCTCCTTCCTTCCTTCCTTCCTTCCTTCTTCCCCTCTCTTTCCCCTCTCCATCCTTCCTTCTTTCTTCTTTCCCCCTCTTTCCCTAACCCTAAAGGCAGCTGAGGCAGGCCTGGTCCTCGGCCTCCGCCAACGGCAGGGGAAGCAGGCACAGGCTCTGCAAACAAGGCCCCCACCTCCCACCCTGCCCCCAATCCCCAGCTCCACGCTGCATTCGGGCTTCCAGGGCCGCTTCTGCTGCGATTGAAGCTGGAGCCACGTCTCCGTTGCAGGGAGGGCAACCGGGCAAGAGCCTGGCAGGAGACGGAGGGAGCCTCTCAGAGACTGCAGGGCCCAGTTCACAGGACGGGCCCTGCCGAGGCTGGCAGGTGGGCTTCATCCGCTCGGGTGAAGAGGGCCAGCCTCCTTCAGCCAGGAGCCAGCGGCCTTGTTTGAGCAGAGCGACTCAGGTGAAGGCAGCACCTCCTGGCTGAGGGGGGGCTGGGAGCTGGGCCCCAGGACGAAGACCCCACCCACAGAAGAGGGGCCGCAGGTTGAACTCCAGACTGGGTTGAAGGCAGCCCCGGAGCAGCTGGCACTACCGAAGGCTCTTGAATGCAGCGGGGGGGGGGGACAAGGGGGGCGGAAGAAAGGCCCGGAAGGGTTCATGGAGAGGTGTGGCAACCAGAGTGGCTCAGAGGCCTGGCTTGGCCGAGGGGGTCACCCTGCCTTGCTCCAAGGGGGCCCTCCGTGCAGGCTCCAGGGAAAGACGGGGTTGCTGGTACATACAGATGTGGAAGGAGCCTCGGCACACCTTGTGGCACCAATCCTGAAATGCTGAATCCTTTCCTGGTCACAGCGCCCCTCCCGACGGGCTCTCCTCCCGCCCACCTGCAGGGAAGCAGCCTTCGCTTCAGCCACTGAGAAGGACGGCCATGTTCACCCTGCGTTCTCCTCCTCCTCCTCCTCTCTCGGGGATGATCCTGAGCAGCCTCTCAGACAGGTGGCCAGGAGGCCTTGGCAAGCCTTGAACCCTGGATAAGAGGAAACCCAGGTTGGGCCAACTCCTTTGTGGATTGTGGATCTCAAGGACTGAGTAAAGCCTGCTTTCTACATTAGATCCATTTGGTCATAAAGGAACCAGCTCAAAATTTCTGTTGCTAAGTGAGGCATTTGTTAACTGAATTTTGCCCCATTTGTCGACCTTTCTTGTCGCGGCTGTTAAGTGAACCGCTGCACTTGTTAAGTTAGTAATACGGTTGTTAAGTGAATCCGGCTTCCCTGTTCTTCTCCAAAGGTCGCGAAAGAGGAATCCTGTGTCCCTGGGACACAGCGACCGTCATAAATACGAGTCAATTGCTAAGTATGTACGTTTTGATCACGCGACCATGAGGAGGCTGCAATGGTCGTAAGTGTGAAAACTGGTCATAAGTCGCTATTTGCAGTGGCGCTGTAACTTTGAGCTAAAGAAAGTTGTATGTCGAGAGGACCATCTGCGTATCGCTTGTTCATGCTGCCTTTGGGGAAAACTGGGACTCTGGGTTAGCTGGTTGTGCGAAGGTTGTTTGTGGGCCCAGTTTGCCTGCAAGGGAAAAGGGGGGGGGGAGGGAGGGAAGCCTGCCCCAAAGACCAGAGGGGCTTGGAGCCCCTGGAGAAAAGTCCAGAAAGGCGGAGGGGATTCTGGGAGATGAAGTCCAAGCATCTTGAGGTTGCCAAGGTTGAGAAAGATTCTGAGCTCATGAATAAAGTCATCACCTGAGTTTGGGGAACGGCAGCTTCTGTCTGTGATGATGATTTGATCATCTGAGTCACCACTTCCATTTTGTGATCCCGGAGACTACCTCATCCACTCGCTCAGGAGTTACCAATGCCAGGGGGTGGATGCTGGTTCGAGTCCAGCCCCTCAACCTCTGGAAAAGAGCCCAGGGTGCCCTCCTGTTCGGTCGCCATCAGTCCTCCCTCTGCTGGAAAAGCCTCCGCGGCCGCTTAATAGGAGGCTAAGAGCTTCAGCAAAGCCAGTGTTTCTCAACCTTGGCAACTTGAAGATGTCTGGACTTCAACTCCCAGAATTCCCCAGCCAGCATTCGCTGGCTGGGGAATTCTGGGA